GGGGGGCTGCTCAGAGGGGAGCTCAGGGGCTGGCTTTCTCAGCTCTGTCTCTCCCTAGCCCCAGTCTTCATATCCGCCCCAGTAACTGACAATGTGCAGTCATGTGAGGTCTCTGGCATCCCTTTGGTGGGCTAGGTTTGCACAGGTGTCACCAAGTGGAACTTAACATACAAGCCCCTCACTGATGGATGTGTTATTGGATTTGTCAGAAGCCCTGAGGAGAGCGGGCCCCCCCACCCCCTGTGCTGGAGTTGGGCCCTGCTGGCTCTCCTGGGCTGGGTTGACTTAGCTGAGCTAACAGGAGGCAAAGCTGCAGACGCTCGGTTTGCTTGCACTGGTTGGTGGAGGTGGCCCGAGGGCTGGGAAGCAGCCGGCCAGGATCATTTTAAGGTGTCACCCTTTGGAGACCTGCATCACATAGCTCACAGGATCGGCTGCCAGGGGATGGACAGAGGGGAACAGCGTGAATGTATTGCCTGCAACTGGACCCTGTTGCAGTGTGAATGTATTGCCCGCAACTGGACCCTGTTGCGCTGGGGCTCAGTGGTGTCCCTCACACTTGCCATCTGCAGGACACAGATCTGCCCACTCAATGCAGCTTCCTCTCCGGGATGTTTCTGAAGGGCTTCTGGTTGCACACCTGAGCACTGGTTGCACAACTCCTGGGGCTCAAGGGAGGAAAACCCTGGTCGGCCAATTCCCCAGGTGCAGCTCAGAGCAGGTACCAGACTTAGGACAGCAGAGAGTGAGCTAGTCTTCCTAGCAGAGCCTGTGAGGAGCCAGCGGGCACCCCAAGCCACATTCAGGGCCTTTGTGTGAAGGGCTCCTCTCCTGGCTTTGGCTGGGCTCTGCAGCCACAGGACGTCTCTCCCTTCCCTCTTTCTCTGTGCAGTAGGTGCAATCAGCTCGCCCTGGGCATGGGGCTAGCCCCAGCTCTGTGCTCTGTGTGTGCTGCTTAACTCCTTGAAAAGGAACAGAAGCTGCACGTGGGCTCTGTGCAGGGCAAGACTTTCACCCAGGGCATGACTTTACCCATCTCTGAAATGCATCGGGTGTGGGGCCAGAGCAGCATCTCTGCATGGGGGTTCTAGGTGTGTTTAACTCCTTCCCACTGCATCAGAATTTGCTACTTGGAGTGTTGGCATCCCATCAGCCTGCAAACCTGCAGCGGCACGGTACAAGATGTGGAATCCTTCTGGCTTCATTCCCCCAGAGGAAGGCTGGCCCAGAGCACTCTGGAGATGGGGGTGCAAGTCCCTGCTCTGCCACAGACTTCCCATGTTACTGTGGGCAAGTCGTGGGCTGCCTGTGTCTCACTTCCTGTCTGTGACCCAGCCTCCTGCATGGCATGGCAGGACAAAGACAGCGCTGACTGGCAGGTGCTCAGATACCGTGGTGCTAGCCTCAGACGGCTAGATAAACCCTCGCTAGAGGGATAAATGTATGACGGATGTACAGAGTGCAGGGCACCTGGGCTTCCTGCATGTGCTACCAAATGGCCTGATCCTGGTGGTTACTCGTGTTCTCGCTCTCTCGCTGCAATAGTCTATGTTTTTCTGGGAGGCTGTTGGGAGCCAGGTTAGTCTTCGCCAGCGGTAAGCTCTCCTCCTCTGGCCCATCCGCGTACTTTGCACACCAGATGTTAAGGCAGCTCCTATGCAATGTGGCCTTAGCACTGTATGGCGGGGGGTGACATATCAGGGGTTACACCATTATTTGCCAGGCAGGTGATGGGGAAGGAGGCTTCTCTGCCTTGCCCTGGTGGCCAATGACAGGGTAGCCAGGCAGTTAGATCTGGTGCTGTCAATCCAGAAGTCAGGGTAGCCACAAGGCAGACACTTGGATTCCATTCTGTACTCTGCCAGAAAGGACCTGGTTGACCTCTCTGTTAGCTTGTTTCCTAAATGCAGGAAGGCTGCTGTCTAGGGCAGGCCATGAAGCTGTGCGGGATCATGCCTAGCAACTTAGCAGCTGTGCAGTGCT